TTTTTCATTTGGAACAGATTGTTTTTCTGTTGGTTTGGACCCTTTCTAATTTCGTTTTACGAATGCAAATTTGAAAATGGGATTTTCATTCTTTAGATAGTTCGTATGAGAAATTTAAAAAAAAATTGAGCTTTATCTGTTCCAAACTCTTCGTTATTTAAATTGTTACAAGGAAATGTTTTTGGCTGTTATATTTTATATTTTGTTGATTAATATTATATATTTACATAATGTAGGTACCCACTGTCTTATACCTCGATAAATTCGTTGTAACTCATACGTTTCGGATTTTATAGTTATTCGACCAAGATCGTAATTACAATGATAACAATTGAATCGTTTTTGGCTGGTAACTACTCTTTCTGTTCCACTTGTTAAATATGCAATTAACTTTTCATAATAGCCATAAATTACCTACAATATTTATAATTTCAATTTGAGATATTCTGAAATAAACATATTCTATCTTTGGATTACCGAGTGAGATCTATTATTTCTTTTGCACTTCATTAAATTGATGATATTCATTTTGCGCCCATTTTTCAAATACACGGATGAAACAGATGAGAAAAGACAATGGCATTCGATGTGAATTGTGGAATGATGGAGAGGCGTGGCAGGAAGTAGGCGTTATAAGAAATAGGTGAACCATAATATGGGTGTCACTCATAATCAGGACTAGCGATAGTGATAATAATCCAATTTTCCCTATATTTATCAATTTCCTGGTACATTTTGTCAATTCTTTTTCGCTCTGTAGGAATTACATTTCTCAAAAAAGTAAATAATTTAAAAGAATCCAATGTAAGAAATGATATATAGACGAAATAAACCAACAAAAATGAATGAAAAGTATGTGCAAAATAAACAAATTAGGCACTTTTTTTGAGGTCAGTGTCAACAAAGACACTTTTATTTAGTAGTAACTTTTTTCCAGACTTAGTACCGACCTTTGAAAAATGTAGGCCCTTACTTTTTACCTACTTTTGATTTCGTTTTATTGGTTAATTTCATGTACAAATTGAAATATTATTTTATACTTTTTTGAAGTCGATATGTTTACTCATTGTTGAGAGAGTGTGTGGAGACGTTTGAAGAGGAATATAGGTATCATCCATACAAAATTAAAATGGTACACCAATGAAAATCTGGTTAAAAAAATCTGTTTTTCCGTTTATCACCTGTCGCCCCCATACGAACGACAACTCTCAGGAGTTGAGAAACTTGTGAAAGCTAAGGACTAACGAGGTCTTACCTTTTAACGTGTGATTCTTAACACGGAACTGAAGATGACCCTGATCGAAGAACAGACTTCTGCGAAATCACGACGAAAACCATTGCAAGGCATCCTACCTACCTCCACAATATTTATTTTAGTGACGACACAGACAAAATTGCTGTTATTGGAGTGAAACCAACCCTCAAGTTTTTCTGGAAACACATACCCAATATCCAGAAAAAAATTACGTTTGGGCAGAAATATTGGGAAACCATATTGTAGGACCTCTATTTATTGATCAAAATTTAATGCAGGGAAACTGTAACTGAATATGCTGGAAACTACTGTTGACCCTCTCATCACTGAAATTGTCGAAGCGAATCCTAATGAAATCGATATAGATATTGTATTTCAACAAGATGGAGCACCACCACATTACTCCAGACAAGTAAGAAACTATTTGAATACTTTTTTTCCCGGTCGTTGGATTGGCCGTCGAGGTCCTATAGAATGGCCAGCCCGCTCGCCAGATCTGACACCTTTGGATTTTTTTATGGGTCTATTTGAAGCAAAAGATATACGAATCTGAACCTGTTTCAATATTGGATATACGGCAGAGAATAATAAATATTTCTAGAGATGTTGAGGTTACTGTGTTCGAAAATGTTCGGCGTGAAATATCGGATAGGCTGTTCATATGTCAAGAAGTTCAAAGCAACCATTTCGATCATCTTCTGAACTGACATCAAGCTTATTACCTCATATTATTTAGTTAAATGCCAATGGCAATTATTTAAAGTTCCGCCATTTTGTAGTAGATGACATTATATTCTAGGGTTATGAAGCATTTGTCAGGAACTTCAAAAAGATGCGTCACAAGACCCCCCTTTCTATTTATTTTTTTTCCCAGATAGCGCCTAGTCGCAATCTTGTCAATTTCACTTCAAAATAAAGTATTCATACATTAATTTCATTATCCCAAATATAAATTTTTTGAGTTGGCCCGTTCAAAAAATAAAAAGAGGGGCATTAAAGGAATGCAATGTATACGTGTCGAATGGATAACCTGCCTCTTTTCAATAATAACTTTTTTTTGTCTGATAATTTCTATTATAACTTATCTGCAATATTTGCCAATGATAACTTTCTAGACTTCCTCAATTTTATTACCTGTAAAGTAAGTTTGATACGAAATATTTTCGAAATTCAATTAGCTTCATTATTAGATAAGATTGAAATACAATATCAATTCAACTAGGAGAAGATAAGATTGTGACTTCAAACAATAGAACAATGTTCCCGAAATTCTATCATAACATATTTATCACCTATGCCTACATTCGAAGCGTTTACGAGGAAAAGCATAAAAAGCCTTCTTCAAAACATTTGAGAAAGTCCAATCAATATCTCTATTTGTTTTTTCCATAATGGTACAACGAAATACAATACAAAATACAATATCTGAAGAATGAAGAATCTTTATTCGTCTATCTATTCCAGTCAAGTTCTATCAGGCCGAAGTAGAGAAAGTTTTAATATTTTAGTTCTTATAAATTGGCTAAAGCTTTCGCGGCCGAGATTTCAAGTGGCACTATCTTCATTCGGGTTTGAAGGCCGTCGTAGTTTGAAACTGCATTCTAACGTTTCGCCAGCACGAGTGGCTGACTTCTTCAGAGGTTTAAACATCTTGATGATTCACCGAAGACTGGTGATTTCTAGTTCGTAGGTTGTATTTGTGTTTACTCAGGATTTTAGTTCTTGTAGTCTTGAATACTAACCCCGAATAGTTATCCTGAAACTCACATTATGATGATCCGACCATAAATGTATTTTAGTTGTACCTAGTACTGACAATCAAACAAGACCACTTAACATTTAGCGCAACAGATCTTCCATAGTTCTATCAGCAAATGATTATTCCAAGAAATATTCTGATTAAACAAAATCTCGTCTAGCGACAGTGGTTCAAAAATCCCAATGCTAAAAATGCTAACACATTCATTGAGGCAGGCATCGAGTGTTAGAGAGTTACTAATAAACTGTTTACCGCCAAAAAAGTTTTTTCATGACTGAATGGCTAAGACTCTCAACCAAAATTTCACAAAAACCTGAAGAGTCTAGAGGCACTTTAAAACTAGCGTTTTTGCTGTCTGGGAGGTGAGATGGGGATTTAATGGCGGGAAGTCAATATTATTTCAAAATATCTTGATAAATTAAATATGAGCGGTGAAGTACAAGACACAAAAACTCAAACAGGGAAGACAGGTTATTCTAGAGACTTCCTGTTTTAGAACCAACTTCGAAGAATGCATTTTTGTAAATAGAATTGAAAAATGTTGAATAACTTATTCAGGAAATGTCACAAAAAACTCCTATTTTTGTTGTATTTTATATACATTATTTTGTGACTATGCCTTTAATTGCAGCATGAACATATTGGAGAGTACAAGATCAATGACAATAAAGAAAGAAAATGTCCTTACTGAATGATTCGGCATCCGATTATGCAGCTTATTTTTAACGCAAAACACAATCCATCACTTCCACTGTTCAATTCACGACGCTCAAAATTACATTTGAACAAAGACTAATATATAACTTCCACTTTTTGAGTACATAAGTACATTACTATTTATGGATCTTGAAATTTTCCAAACATTATTTCATAGTGGCCACGGAAAGGTCTCTCTTGGATGATATTATAGACAATATACTCGATACTCTTTTTCTTCTGTACATCAACGACCTTAAAAATCGAATGACGTCATTTTTGTGGATGGATTTTTTAAAGGATAACATTGAAATTGTAAAAATCATTGCCGGTGGTTTTTGAAGCCAGTGGCAAAGTACCTAATGAACTTTGAACATGGTTTGATTTCATAAAGACAGGTTTAAAAATTTTCTACGTGTTTCCCGATTTTGTATTTTGAATGAAACGGAAAATGACATTTTCATTGATTTGTCTTTTTATCTAATAGTTTTAGTATCTGAAAGTTTTCCAAAATATATGTGAGTGCATTATGTAAAAGTAGGCAAGCTATCTTAGCTACATTTCAACCCTTTTGTCACTCAAATTCTGAATATTATAATATATCAGTTGAACTGACAGAAACTTTTGGAAAGTACCTATATCTATTTGATTTCAGAAACCTGAACAATGAGTTTAATTGAAGTTGTAGTCCAATCAACCATACCTAAATGAACTTTTCCAGTTCTTTTCATTTACAAGACACTCCGTGTTGATATTAATAGGTCTTGCCCTGTGAACTATTATTTATGATTATTTTGAATGAATTTCAATCTGACAGGCCCCTTGGAAGACCGAGAGAAATGGAACAGTTGATTATTTCGAGGTAACGTGAGAAATATCAAATTAATTCTAACACATTCATAATAAACTACACCATCTATTCATATAATTCTTCTATCGTCATCAATTGCCAATAAAGTATTAGCCGATAATAAAAAAGAAAACAAAACAATAACAATTTTCTAATCGTGTACTGCGCCTTTCAACAAAAAAACAATCTAAAAACCCCACTTCGCGTTATTAATACAATATTTCACAAAGTTCAATTACTCCTCACTCCACAGGCCGCTCAAAAAAATGTAGATACGAGCTAGACTGCATAAGAACTATTTTATATATACCCATGCATTTATAGTGCATCTTTATCCCATGCACTGCGAATTCAATGCAACGTCTCCATGCAATTTTGTTCTGCCCCCTCTCTCAAAACCGCCTTCGTACATAGCTTTCTTATACATACTACTAAGATTCTCAACTGTTTCAAACTGAAATCATAGATATCTATGGGTTTAAAATGTCCATAATAATAAACGTTTTTTGCTACCTCGGGATTCTCATGAAAATAATGTAAAATTCGTTTCTTTCATGAGTGCGACGAGCAGTTCGAGTTCTGTAAAAAATTTCAGTGAAACGAATTCAGAGAGTGAGGTTAGAAAATGTGTAGTGAAGAAGTGACCAAACTACCCCCGGAAAATCTTTTGTGGAATTAATACAGTGTACTGACAGTGTTCTTAAAAATAACCCCGAATTGCTTTTGACTTCTCACAGGCTCTTATCACTTTAAAGATGTTCAAACAACTTGCCGCGCATTTCTAGATTGTATTTTTCTATCGCGACTCGAATAAATTATTCAAAGCCTTCATTTACATTGAGTTTTTAAATAAAAAACACTGTGCTCGCATGTAAAGAAATTATAATATGCTTCAAAAAGAATCGATATCGAGTATTCAAGGTTCTACTTCACCCAATTAGCATAAATGAAATCAGTTTGATAATAAATGACAAAGAATTTTGAATATGAAAAAATGGCTGCATAGAGTAAATAGTTGCAGAAGTTTGAAGATAAAAATAGATTGTTTGTACAGCCATCTTGATTTTTATATTAACGGTGGAAAAAATAAGCCAACCATTTTTTTCGGCGCCAGACAGTTCCCTCCCAATTTTTTTATCAACTGTTTGCTCAGCACTTATCTGATATTTCAATTCTGAATAAATATGAATTAGGAAAAAATATTTATAATCATCTTAGAATGAGTTACTCACTCCTTTATGATTTTTTACTTTGGCAGAGTCAGTCGGGGTTATTTTTAGATTACTTTTGTAGTTTGGAATCGAATTAAACTACATTATTTTCTAGAACCTAAATCAAGGTGATTTGACTGAAAACTTCGAGGACACATAATTTCGGAAAATTCGCATCGTGATGAAGAGATAGCTTGATCTGTAAGTGCATTTGCATATTTTCTTTTTTCTTTAAGTAGCTTGAGGTGATGTTGAAACTTTCTAAAATTAATAGGTTCAAATCGGTATTTTGTTTGCCAAAGGAAATCCTTGTCATTCTTATTAGTTTTTACCTCGTGGTTACCTTTGCAATTTCTCTGGCTTGTCTCATAAATCAATTAGTCGAGTTGATGCTAATAATACTTTATTCTTAATCGATTTATTTCATTCCGTCATTGTAATTTGAATTTTAAAATAATTCATGTGGTGAAACTAGTAAAGATACATTTCATGAGAACCTTTTTTCAAATTGAAAATTTTTCAGTCATTTCATGATGGTGGTTTTCAAAGTACACGACTAAGTGAGGTAGTTGAAAATTACAAAAAGGAAGTATGCTGCATTCCAAACAAAAATATACTAACTGGAATGTCACCAATTAAAAATGCAGCTGTGAGTTTTTATAAAACAATGTAAAGATGACTCATACTCAGTGCCTTCCCAAATTAAATTTTTGCCATGTTACTCTGGTAGGGTTGAAAACACTTGAGTTTTATTTCGACTTTATCAGTCGAAGAAAGCATGCAGCTTCCGTATTATAAACTAAACCCTTTGCACAACTATCTTGAAAAAAACAGTTTATTGAAAATGAGACATCAGCTAAAATTTTTAAACTTATAGAAAATTATTTTGTGAATAATATTCTTCTCATATGCGGCCATCCCGAAATGTGGTCAATCTAATTTAGTGACCGAAGTCTGTATGTCTGAACGCAATAAACTTGAAAGTACCTACAAAAAAAATTTCAGATGTTTTTTTTTGTCACATATAGTCAGTGGGCATACTTGAAGACTGGCTGTATATCAAATCATCTGAAGGAACAATTCGTTCAGGACAATCTCAACTCCCTACACTGTATGTTAATGGACCAACACCTATCATAAAACAACTACTTCCCTGGCTAATACCAGGAAGGACGTTGGATTGAATCCGACAGGTGTCAGTGCAGAATTCGTCACTGAAGGTATTCCTGCATATGTTGTTGGCGATACAACTGCCGCAATAGATTTTCAATTATTGGAACACACTTGCAGACCGGTTTCGGGTTGTTTGGCCACTGTTGCGGCAGTTGTATCGCCATCAACATCATATGCAGGAATACCTTCGGTGAAGAATCCTGCACTCACACCTGTCGGATATAATCCAACGCCCTTCGTGGTATTAGCCAGGGGAGTAGGTGTTTTCTGATAGGTGTCAGTCCATTAACTTACAGTGTAGGGAGTTGAGACTGGCCTGAACGAATTGTTCCTTTATATGATTTAATTTTCAGATGGTTTTCATTAACAGTAGGAGTGATCAAAGAAACAAGTTCATGTGTTATATTTTTTATCATAACCATTTTATTGTTCGAAAACTCATTACATAGATATCATGTGGTGATCGGAAAGCTATTCTAATGGATACGATATTATTCAAATTGAATACATTAGTTACTCCAAGCATCACATGAACATTATAAATTTCTTTCACGTCATACAATTTGAACGAGTGCCATTGAAAATATCGCAAAATCAAAACCATCGCGCGATAAAATAATAGTGATGTCAACGAATACGTGAAATTTTGCGATTTTGAGAAGCAGCTGCGATTTTGAAGTTTTTTCTTCAGATTTTTGTTTTTTATACCATTTCAAATCAGAAATCTTTTTAGGCTTGGATATAATTTATTTATATCATTCGAACAATATTTATCATATTTATATAAAGAAATTATTTCTGCTCAGAATCTTCGTATAATGATTAGCATAAAAACAGTAATCATGGCCAGACAATAATTCACTTAAATTCTTGTCGAATATCTATCTGCTTGTTTTATCTTTCAGGATCAAATTATCAATTCGGTATATCTCCGAGAACAACATATTTTAAAGGTTTTTTTTTTAATTGACGTTCTAGTTCTATGAAGCTAATGCTATATAATTTTTATGTTGCAGTTGGTTGAAGTTTTTGAGGGGTTTGAAAATCAAAGAATGTGAACTTCCACGCCCGGAAATAACTATGTGAAAGCTATTCTCCGGGTTTTTTGTTCGTGGTCTGCAAGTTTTATTCCTGGCGTTTCGTCTATAACTGCGGCACCCATTATCAAAGGCGATGTGGTAAAGGTCGCAGTGTTCGATATCACGGCCTAAAAACCCGGAAAATAGCTTTCAAACGGTCGTGAAAGCCTTCATTCCTATATTAGCTTTCACACAATCAAACATATTGATTCGACAATTTAAACAATTTTGTTCCGAATTCAAAATGTTTCAGATTTCGAATCGGAGCTTTTTCTGAGGACGTCTTCAGAAAAAAATTTTTTGATCGACTATAGATTCAAGCGGCCTTACAAATCGATGCGATACGTGTGATAAAGAAAGTTCATGATTGAATTGGTTTTGTTTCAAATATTGGAATTATTTTGATGGTTAAGGTTGTTTTTTTAACGTATTCAAAAAACACACTTCAATGTAACGCTACCACTTGAAAGTTTACAAAGCCGCGATACGTGTTTCACTACACGATAGCATGTTCGAGCATTACAATATTGTCTATTATGCGTAACAATATTGTGTATTGTGACGCCTGAAGGTGCCATTGTATAGCAAAACAGGTGTCGCGGATTTGTAAACTTTCAAGTGGAAATCTCACCTTGAAGTGTGTTTTGAATACGTTATAATGGATTCTCATCAAGTATTGGACAGTTCTATCATTTTTTTTCGTTCTCTCTAGATAGATAGGTATCTACTTACGTATTTCAAAATGAAATGTTGCCATATACTGTCATATACCTAGTGCACGGAAATGGAACTCATTTCCGCATTGTCAGTTGTATATGCTCCTGAAGATAATCATTCTCTAAACAATACTTAATTTCATATGAAACGCCTTACTATCATAAAACATGTATTTGAATAATCGATTTCGATAAGTCCGATGATTTTGCATTCTGCACGAGGTTCGAACAATAATTAGATTGCTATCGTTTCGTAACAATAACTCAAATTTAAAGTTGAAAATTTTCGAAAATAGTGATAGCAACTTACAAAATTACATGGAATGCCAAAATAACTACAGTAGGAAAAATCATTTCAGTTTCCTACTTCTCCAAGCAATCAAGTTCGAATAAACTCTTAACAAAAATATGTAGATCATGCATAGCAGATAAAAAAAAAGAAGAAAAATTGTGTGCGTCTGGGACTCCCGACAGAAGTGAACTTAAACTATTCTAAGTTGAACGATTCAATATTGAAGTTGTTTAACTTGGGAAAAGCTTAGGTTATTACTTGAATTTTATGTACGTAGGTATATTAATATGATAATGTAAGTAAAGGTTATGAAATATTTATATAGCTACCATAAGCCAACTGTTACTTTTGTAGGATTAAATGATGATACTAATAATGTACATACACAAAATTAGTATCAGCATTTTTGAGCCATATATCACAAAATAAAAGAATATTACGTGCTTGCTAGTAATATTTTAATAATACTGTCACCAGTATATATCTAACGCACACTAAACACGGAGCATCTGTCCGACGAGAGATGAAGAGTCTGCCTTCCGCTGATGTATGCGTGAGAGGAAGGGAAGCCAAACAAACTGGCGCCGTTACGTGTTAGGTAACGAAGCGGTTTACCCTCCTATAGAAAGTTATCAGTTTAAAGATATACCTCCTTCAATTCAAATAATATTTCTATGACTGGGGTTAAATCACATGAGCGTATAAACGTCTTGACGTACTTTCATCGTGACATGAGTAGATTTGTCTCTTTCGGTGACATAGAGTCGTGAATTTATGAAAGCACCAGCACCAAAATGGTACCGATGTGGTATTTCGAGACTACGAAGTACGCCAATTATATTTTTTGTTCATTTTGGATAAATAATTTTCATTCATTTCATTATTTTGTAATACATTCAGATATTTTCAAAATAGGACATGGCAATGAAAGTTAGATGAATTAGGAATATTTTGGTAGTTCAATTGAAATATCATTGAAAGGAAAGTATTTATTGACTATCTATCAACTTTTCTGGTTAGATTGGAAAATAAAAAAATGTTATATGAAAGGACATAATGATAATTGCAAATATTTCGATCCTGTTATTTTCAAGCGCTACCTTTGGAATAATCTCGTAAAGCAGCTAAAATGAAACTACATCAATCTGCAGATACATACAAATATGAAACTAGATAAGATCAGATAATGGAAGGACCTTCCCATCAAAATAATATTTCTCCGTTACCGTAGTTTCTTCTTCATCTTTGATAATTAGCCCATTCCAACAATTAATATATCAAAGTCGTCCATACTAATTAAAATGTTTCAAAATGGGCTTCGACAGAAATCGCAACACGTGTTTCGTTATACAATAGCTTTCTCGAAAGTTTTTATATCGACTAAATTCTACTTAATTTGTGCTGATAACAATTTGGATCATATGGCCTTCTAGCAGGTAACATCACAAATGTATGCTTTATATTCTCGTCCTTTTCTTTCGAATTTCACATGCTATAATTTTTTTTTATTTAAAACAAGTTCATTGAAGAGTACTTCTAAATACTGATGCAAATATGCCCTGATACTTGAGGATACACCAAAACATTCGAATGAATTTAAAAAAAAGGGTTTCACTGTTCATATTATTATTCAATTTAAAATAATGTTATTAACCGAGATAATTGAATCGATATTCATTCAAGTGAGGTTCTGACTTTTTCTCATTGGCAAGGATTTTCTATTCAAATCATGTTAATTAAGTGGACGTCATAAAGCAGGTTAGCAAACAAAAATTTACTGATATGAGATTACTTGAACAATATTAAAAGAAATAAGATTAGAAAATAGGTCAACTGCAGTGTTATCAGTATAATAATCTGTCTTGTCAGTCTACGAATAGGTAAAAATAAGTAAGAAAGTCGGTTTCTTGTAAGGCAGTGAATAATTCATAAGTAGTAATA